TGTGAATGGCTCAGGAAATTAAAGACTCCACTTGGCCTCCTTACGATTTATATGGACATTGATTGTTTCCTGATTGATTATTTGTACCCTATGACTATCATTAAGTGTTGTGCCTTATGATTCTTGACAAATGTATCTTGTCTTTTTATGTACACTGAGAGCTCATGCACCAAAGATAAATTCCTTGTGTGTCCAACACACTTGGCCAATATAGAATTCTATTCTATTCCCTTCCCTTCCATTCTTCCATATTTTCTATTCTATTCTATTCTGCCATCTAGCTGTTTGACCATCTGTGATTCAATCACATATCAAACTTCAAGACAGTTGTGTTTGAAAGAGAAATCTAATGAACAATTCACCCCCCGCAGCCCTTGTTAGAGAACTTCTGTTCCCTGTGACCATCTGGAGCCATTCAGGCCAGGAAAGATGGACGAACGTAGAGCATGCAGTAAAGTTGGGGAAAGGGGTGGAACAACTCCTATCTCCCAGCTACATGTGTCTGCGGTCAGCATAACAATTCATTAGACACACATTCATACATACCTTCAATATGCAATATGGCTGGCTGGGGAATTCTGGGAGTTGAAGTTCACAAGTCCTAAAGTCCCCAGGTTTGGACACCCCTGCAATACGCCAACCCCAGGACTCTGTGGCACGAACAGTTGTTTCCCTCTTCCAAGGTGACACCCCCAGCCCCTCCCAGGGACGAACCTGCACATTCTGCTGGCTGACATCATTTGACAAGGAACTTCCCAAATGGGTCACCATCTCCTTTCCTGTCGTGGCTTTCAGTCTTGTCCATCAGTTTTGCCAACTTATTTTCTACACTTAAAAACACCAAGCCCCTGAATAGTCGCTCTTGCTAACTTTGCCTAGGGCAGGGATGGCTAACCTTTTGTGTGTCGGGTGCCAAAAATGCAAGGGCACACGCACAATAGTGCACGCATGCTGGCAATCATAATGCAAAGCACACCCCCACATGCGCATGCATGCACAACTCCCACCCACTTACCTCCCCCCCCCTGCACTACCCGCCTCCAAGCTGAGGTTGTATTTCCTGGGGGGGGGAGGCCATTTTTGCCCTCCCCAGGATCCAGAAGGCCAAAAGTCAGCTGGCCAGTGCTGGCGGATGGCTTGCCAGCAGATATGGCTCTGCATACCATAGGTTGGCCATCAAGGGTGTAAGGGGGAACATTTTTCTAAAGGTGGGGTGGGGGGGCAGAGGCCACCCTAACAAGATTAAACAATTCAAACAGCTGCCCTATAAACGTTTTTGACCCCACTTTATTCGCAGCCTTGTCCCTTTCCATGCTTACATGAAATGTATTACTTTTTTTCCCCCTTAGGCACCTTTCCAGAATTTATTTCAGATTCCCTATTTGATGAATCCTCTAATTCCTCTGCAATTCTCTGAAATCTTCCATGCAATAGTTCCTCACTTGTGTTTCTTTCCAAATCATTTCATCCCTTTCATTTATTCTGTGGAAGGATTTTCCCCCCGTCACCCTCTTCGCTCACTCCCCACAAATTTTTAAATCCTCATACAAAAAACACCACTCCTTTACACACCTACACACTTTCTCACACTGATGTCTTTCCATCAGAATGCCGTTGCATCATCCAGTTCACATGGGAGCTGTCTGGAATTTGGGAAACTATCAGTTGCTGTGCCTTCCTTAAAGTTGTTTTTATGGATCCCCTTCCAGATGCTACCAAAGCTGAAATCAGCCCTGGGAAAACTCATTCTCACAAACCTTGGAAACCAACCTACTATTGCCCAGGCTCATCAACTAGAAGCTGCTTTTGTAGGGTGTTTAGACACTTGAGTGCATGTACAAAAGCATAAAAAGTAATATTAAAACATTTTTTCCTTTGAATATTCCTTTTTTAAATAAAAAAAACACGTACACATTCCTAATTAAAAATCACAAAAATTACAGAACAGAGAGTAGGAAGTGGCAATTGAAGTTATCTACTATAACTTTGGTTAGATAACATTCCTCAGAACCCCATTCCCTACCAATACTGATGATGTTACCAAGTTTGGGTAATGAGACGTCTGTAAGAAAACAACCAGGCACCAAGGACCCTTGCTCCAAACATCTGACAGAGGACCATTCAGCCTCCTTTTGTAGATTTCCACAATTGGAGAACTGACCACTTCCACTGGCAACCTGTTTTACTGGTTGATGGCTCACACAGTACCGGGAAGCTCCACCTGAGATACCGCCTGAACCTCCCATGGGGCAGTGTTCACCCTTTGATTTTGGTCCTAGTCCCTAGGAAAACTGAGAATGCCCTTTGGGTATTTGAAGACTGCTGTCGTATCTCCTTTCAGTCATCTCTTCTATGGGCTAAGCAAACCCAGATGTTCTACTCTTCCTCAGAGTGTTTGGTTCTTGGCAGCCACAGCAATCACAAAATACCAACAGTAAGTTATTAAAGTTAACATAAAATTAAAACCACATCTCCCACCCTGATGACATCACCCTAAAGCCCTGGGATTGCTCAGCCTGAGCTCCTCTTGAGCCCATCTCAGACTAAGGAGCTTGCAGAGAATGAGCCCAAAAGGAGCTCAGGCTGAGCAACCCCAGCTCAGCTTTAGGGTGAGTTGTGATGCCATCAGGGTGGGAGGTGTGGTTTTAATTTTATGTTAACTTTAATAAGCGAACTGATCCAAACTCCCAGCAGCCGGAGGCCAAGCGGAACCCCCAATGTTCCCATTCACTAGAAACAACCCCAATAGGTTAAAAAATGCAGAGCCACGTCATAAGTCATCCTTGCATGCAGACGCTTCTCCAGTGCCAGGCGGTGGGGTGGTCTTACCTGGCTTCCCTGGGACCTCCACCACGGAGGGGAATCTGTGATGGGGGCTTTGTGTGGCGATGTTCCCCGCACTGCCTGAATCCTTGCTGGGCCGGCTTGTGGTCAGCTGCTCTGGCATCACCGCATTGGGATCTAAGAACAGGGAGGGAAAAGTTGGGGTGAAAAACTGAGGCCCGTCTCAGGGGAAGGGGGCCCGGCGGCTCAGGTGGGGCACCGGACTGTAATTAGGCCATGATAAATTCGGTGGCAGCCAAGAAAAGTGTCGGCTTTTGGCCAGGAGCAGGGAGCTGATGCAAGAGAACATTTGTAGGAAATATGTCAGACGATCAAACAATGGAAATGCCATTAATAACCCCTTCAGTTCAGAGTCCTCCCCCCTCAACTGCTACAAAGTCCCATACAAGCTGTCCTCTTAAGATTCCTCCCTCTTTCCCTCCCTTCCTCATCCATCTCCTTTCCCTTCTTCCCTTCCTTCTTTTTCCCTTCCTTCCTTTTCCTTTCCTTCTTCTTCCCTTCCTTCCTTTTCCTTTCCTTTCTTCCTTTCCATCTTCCCTTTCTTTTTTCCTCTTCTCTCCTTCTTCTCTTCCTTTCTGTCCTTCCTTTCCTTCTTCCCTTTCTTCTTCTTCCCTTTCTTCTTATTTCCTTCCTTCCTTTTCCCTTCTCTCCTTCTTCCCTTCCTTCCTTTTCCTTTCCTTCCTTCCTTTCTTTTTTCCCTCCCTCCCAGATCACCCTTCCCTACTCAACACGGCCTCTGTCTCATAGGGCCAATCACAGCACTCTGTTCAGTGGCTCAACCCTGCATTTAGACAAAAGAAATAGTTTCAGTCTAAAATGAGGACCAGGAAAAAGTTGAAAGTCTGCTTTTTTTTTTTTTTTTAAATTATTTTTATTTTTTGGTTACATAGACAACAAGCTGCTCACATATAT